CGCGGCTCTGGAGGTGGCCTCCTCGGTCCTGTCCGGCTCGCCCGCGGCCCTCTCGCGCTCCGCCTCCAGCCTCGGGGGGCCGCATACCCACCTGAGCCTCCTCCTCCTCCTCCTTTTCAGCCCTCAGCAGCATCATCATCATCATCATCATCATCATCATCATCATCATCATCATCAGCAGCAGCATCATCATCATCATCATCATCATCATCATCATCATCATCATCATCATCATCATCATCATCATCATCATCATCATAATCATGATCATGAACATCATCATCATCATCATCATCATCATCATCAGCATCAGCATCATCATCATCATCATCATCACCATCACCATCACCATCACCATCACCATCATCATCATCATCAGCATCATCAGCATCAGCATCAGCATCAGCATCAGCATCATCATCATCGTCATCATCATCACCGTCATCATCATCCGTCATCATCATCAGCATCATCGTCAGGAGCATCATCATCACCAGCATCAGCATCAGCATCATCATTAGCAGCAGCATCATATTCATTATCCTAATCAGCATCATCATCAGCAGAAGCAGCAGCGTCATCATCATCAACATCATCACCACCACCACCATCATCATCATACTCATCATCATACTCATCAGCATCGTCAGCAGCATCGTCTGCAGCATCAGCAGCATCATCGGCATCAGCAGCATAATCATCATGAGCAGCATCAGCATCATCAGCATCAGCATCTTCATCTTCGTCAGCAGCAGCTGCATCGTCATCAGTAGCATCAGCATTATCATCATCCGCTTCAACATCAGCATCAGCATCATCATCGTCATCATCAGCAGCATCATCAGCATTATCAGCAGCATCATAAACATCATCATCATCATCATCATCATCAGCAGCAGCAGCAGCATAATCATCCTTTTACCTACACCTCCCCGCCCCCTCCCTTCTCAATCTCCTCCCATGGCTCCTCCTCCTTCTATTCATTATCTTCATCATATTGTTCATTCTTCCTCCTCCTCCTCCCTCCTCCACTTCCTCCTCCCCCCCCTCCTGCTCCTCCTCCTCCTCATCATCATCCTCGTACTCTTGCACGAAGAAACATGATCGGCCCACGAACCCGGAAAGGGATATGGAAATGTGAGGCATGGCAACGTTTTCAAGACGCCTGATTGGGCGACGAGAAATTGCAATGCTGAATGTATCGGTCTTGGTGTGCCGTGCCCAGGGCTATGCTGTGCTGTGCCGTGCTGAACTGCGATGTGCCATGCCGCGATTGTGCTCTATACAGTTGTGGATCGAGTCCTCCTTGGCATTTGAGTCCTGGCCGAACTGACATGGACCTTAAGCTCGAGCTGCCTGAGCACACCGTAGCCGCCCCAGAGCCTAATTAGTTGAAGTGGAAACGTGGAGGATGTTCAATCAACTCGACCTCAAAATCCGACTCTGCTCCGAAAAGGAACAACACGACACGGGGCACAGGCTCACGGACGCGCCACAGGATGTGCCAGGGGCGCATGAGGGGATGCGCCAGAGGACGTGTCAGGAGGATCGCGTCAGGGGACGTGCCGTGGACGTGTCAGGGACTTGCAATGGGACGTGCCAATGCGCGTGCCATGGGGCGGCCAGAGGTCGTCATGCCAAGGGACGTTGCAAGGGGCCCGCCACAGAACGGGCAGGGGAAACGCCTAGAGACGAGCAAGGACGAGCCAGGGAACGTGCCACCCCGAGTGGCGTGCTAGGGGACGTGCCACGGCACGTCAAGCCTGAACGTCGCAAGGGACGCGCCAGGGGGCGCGCCAGGGCGCCAGATGACGCCCCACGGACGGGCGGGGTTGGACTGCGACGCACTCCACTGCGACAAGCGTACCGCTCGAGACATTCTCAACAAATCCTCACATTAGACACCTGTCTGGGCGACCTGGACACATGAAACCAAGCGTCTCGCCCGAAACGTTCTCAACACCTCCTAATGCTAGAAATCTGCCTGAACGACCTGGACGCGTGAAACCAAGCGCGTCGCTCAACACATCCTCAACACATCCTCATGCTAGACATCCACCTGGGCAACCTGGACACGCAAAAACAAGTGTCTCTTCCTCTCTCTTTTTGTTCTCTCTCTCTCTCTCTCGCGAGAGAGAGAGAGAGACAAGGGCCCCACGCCCTTGCCGGGACAGAAAAAGTACAGACAAGGCGGAAGACGGCGGGAAGGGGGAGGAATGGATCGAACGAACGAACGAACCGCCACCATCGCGCCGGAGCGCGTCCCTCGGGGGATGGGCGGAAAAGGGCCGCATCCCTCAGAATTTGGAGCGCTCGTAGTAAACTTACCGATAGCAGCAAAAATCCTTTTTCCATGTCTCTCCACCACTTGTGATTTGTAGCAACGTGTAGCCAATTTGTCCCATCTACATCATATCCAGCCGGGGAGAAATGGATGGAAGGAGGGAGAGAAGGGGAAAAAAACGACCGCCCGCGGCCCCCTCCGGGCACGGCCCACCGGCGCCCCCTCCCCGGCGGCAGGGGGCCTTCTCCTGGCCTCCTCCCTCCTCGCCTTCAGGCGTTTCTTCCTCGCGCGCCTCTCGTCGATGTCCTTCTGCCTCATGAGGCCTGCCGGATCGGGGCGAAGCGGACGGGGGGCGAGGGGCGAGGGGTGCGAGCGACGGGGGGGGAGCGGGATGGGGTGAGCGGGAAGAGGGGGGGGATGTGCAGGAGGGAAACAAAACAGCGCAGGGGAAGGCAAACACAGACGTAGACGCGCGAGTCCGCCGGCCGGCGGGCCGGCAGGCACCTTGGGGCGGCGCGGGCGGACCGGAGCCCAGTCACAAGCATGTGAATTTCAAGAAGTCGCCTTCGAGGTCTGCCCAAAATTTGGAAGCCGTAGCACTCTGTAGCCATGTGCTGGGCGTGCTTCCAACCGAAGCCTTTTGTAGAAATTCTGTGATATCGTCACTCCACCGTTTTCGCTGCCCGCCTTGTCGGCGTCGTGCTGCCCAGACGGTCATGGACATTCGGTTCCCATGCCGCCGCCAATCGGGCCCAAATGTGGTGCGGTTTGTCAGCAACTCGCCCAGCCCATCTCCATTGACGCTTGTGATATATAATATATATATATATATATATATATATATATATATATATATATATATATATATATATATATATATATATATCGCAGCAAATTCCTCCACATGTGCGCGCGTCGCCGTCGCAAGGCCTGAGGCGGCGCGGGTAGCCCTGCGAATGAAATTGTCCCAGGGTTCAAGGTTGGATTCGTCGTCGACGTCGTCAAAGTCTAGGTGCTGTCTGACGCTGGACTTGCTGTCGTTACTTGTGCTGTCGTCATGCTGTTCAGTGTCGGGGTTGGTTGTGTCTTCGTCGGTGCTGGTGTGGGGTTGTCTCTGTCGGCGCTTCGAAATATCGATCATGAGTCGTAACGTGCGTCGTTGGGTGCGACGGGGTGTTAGGAGCATGTCTGTGGTGAGTCCACGTTGCGCAGCCATACACGACCGTTGGCGTCACCGTCCCGCTGAACAGCCTGAGTCTGCTGCGAAGCGGCTACCGGCTATTTGTGAGCTCGTTGCGGAACTGGATGAATTTGCGCACCCATAACATGTCTGTTGGGGCTCGGTATGGTGGAAGTCGTACAACGTCAGCTTGCGAACCCAAGTACTTGGTGCTCTCCTCGGCGCTGAGGATTTCGACCTTGTCGTCGTCGATGTCCACGTGTGTAAAGCATCGCCCCTGCCGCCTGCCAACATTTGTGAAGATTTTCGTTTTGTCGGGGGTGCAATGCAAGTCTACACTTCGCAGCTTCGTGTTTGAAGTCTCGCAAGATACACTTGACTTGCCGTAGATTGGGTGCTAGGAGGAGTACGTCGTCAGCAAACCTCAGGTTGGTCAGGCGCGTCGTCTGTGAACTTCCCAATTATATGCCGAAGCCCTGTCGCGTCCAAGTTGGTTTAATGGTACGGAATATGTGCTCGAAAAACGCGTTGGACAAATATGAGCTGAGTTGGTCCCCTTGCGTGGCGCCGCGCTCGATGTAGAATTGCCTGCTTCTGACGTCTGTCTGTGCCATGGCTCTTTGGTCGTTGTAAAAATTGTGCAGCAAGGAAATGTTGGGTTCCAGCACATCTTGTTTCCTCTGGGCATCACACAAACACGAGTGGCCGACGCAATCGAAAGCCTTCTTGTAATCAAGAGCAGCTGTCCAGGAGTGGGAGCTGCCATTCGTAGGACTGCTCGCAAAGTTGCAGTGAAGAGGTGGTCCTCTGTGCCCAGGCCCTTGCTAGGTGGCCACATGCGAACCCTACCCCATACCCCCCCCCACACGGCTTTTGAGGGGGAGGGTGGGGTTCACTTCGCTCGGGAGCTCTCGAACGAAATGAACCCCACCCTCCCCTTCAAAAGTCGTGGGGGTAGGGGTCGGGTTCGCATGTGGCCACCTACTTGCGGAAGCCAGCTTGGTCAGGTGATTGTTGTGCGTCGACAATTTGTCAAGTCGGTTGCAAAGTAGTCGGGACATGAATGTGTAATAGTAACGGTATGATGGCGATTATTCTGCAGTTACTCGGTAGTTGCGGGTCTCCGGACATATAGATTACGCTGATGGTGGTGTGTCTCCACTGTCCCGGCGGTGTCTGCTCAGGTGCTGCAGTGTCGCTGAAGAGCACCAGCAAATGCGTTTCAATCGTGTCCCCCCCTGCTTTCAACAACTCCGCGGTGAGCCCAGCCGTGTCCTTGCACTTGCCGTTTTTGAGGTGCTTCACTGCTTGGTGCAACTCCTCGTGGGTGAAGGGTGGAATGCTCTGTCGAAGTCACCGTGCTGTTTTTTTCTTGGGCGTCAGGGGAGCTGTTGGGCGTAGGTAAGGTTGTGCTTTCAAGGCGCCGGTACAACTCCTGAAAGAAGTCCGCGAAGACGTCTGCTATCCCCTGTCGGTCCGTCTCGTTGGAAACCTTTGCTGTTGTCATGGCCGGTATGAGGTCACTCTTTTTCCAGGACTTGATCCCAGAGATCCTGTTCAGGCCGCGGAAACTAACGATGATGTCGTTCAGGATTGCTTGTCGTTGAGCCCTTTTGATGTCGAGGTGTGCACGTAGAATACGTTTGCTAAGAGCTGTTCTGGTGGCTGTGTCGGTGTGCGGTGTTTCTGCGTTGCGTAATGAGTGCGTGCAGTTGTTGCTTTTTGCCACGTCGTCGTTGCTAGCTGTGTTTTGTGGAAGTTGTTGCTGTTGGTCTTGTTGTCGCTGGTAGTCTCTCTGAGCTGCTACAAGTGCTTGTTCGATATGTGCAGCGGTGTCTCGTGTGCCCTTTGGCGAGTTGCTGATAGTGAGAGGTCTCGTCGAATGGTGTTGGAAATGGGGGTCGTTTGGTCGGGGAGGTTTTCGGTGCCTGCGTGTCTGTCGTCGTTTCCGTCGTCGTGCTCGGGGTGTCGCGTCGTCCAGTGCTAGTCGGAGGTGCACGGCTTGGCGGTCGGAGCCGAGGTCGGGACACGTCGTGGCGAATGAATCCAGGAACCATATGCCGGGCCCGCTGATCCATAAGAATGTAGTCGATCTGCGTTTGCTTGTGGTTGGTGCCAGCGCTCGTGTACGTGAAGACGTTGTGCACACGCTTGCAAAACATCGTGTTCGTGAGTGCAAATTTGCGCACGCACGCCCACGATCGTAGCCAAGTACCACGCTGGTTGTACCCGCTATGCCCGTGATTGCCGATAGAACGTTTGAGGCCCTGCGAGTGCTGGAGTCGTCGTCATCGTCGCTCCGTTTGCCAACTCGTGCATTGAAGTCTCCTGTGATGATGGTCGTCCGGTGTTGTTGGTGGGCGTCGGCGTGTATTTCTGTAAGTACGTCGTACATAGATTGCACCTGTTGGTCGCCGTACCCTCCGTGCGGGAAGTAAACCGTGACGATTCGGAGCGGTTGTTGCGGGAAGTCGACGTCGATGTAGGCGACCCGCTCGTTGACAGCTTTGAGTCTTCGTATGCGTCGTGCATGTCGTTTGTGGACTAAGAATGCAACGCTTCGTGTCGGACAGTCATGTCCAGAAGCTGCGAATATGTGCGCGCCAGGCTCAATGACCCAATACTCTCGTTTTTCTGTCCGCCATGTCTCATTGAGCGCCACAACGTCCCATCGTATGTCTGAAAGCTCTTGCACAACATGATGGACCCACGAATCCAGAAAGGGATATAGAACCGCATGCATGGAAACGTTTTCACGACACCGTATTGGGCGACGGGCACTTCCACGAGACACCCCGCGCAACATTCCACGAGACACGGGCGACCGTTTTCAACGTTTTCCTGGAAACATTCCACGAGACACCGCGCGAAACCGTCCACGAGACACCCCACGAAACATTCCTCGACGACAGGCAACCACTCAACCAAGGCGATGTGGTCGTGCTGGGGAGTGGTCGTGCTGGGGTGTGGTCGTGCTGGGGGGTGGTCGTGCTGGGGGGTGGTCGTGCTGGGGGGGTGGTCGTGCTGGGGGGTGGTCGTGCTGGAGCGTGGTCGTGCTGGGGCGTGGTCGTGCTGGGTCGTGGTCGTGCTGGGGTGCGGTAAAGGCACATGGATTCGTGCACCTGGGGAGGGCAACTCTACAGGCACATACGTAAAAACACACGGGTTCGTGCACCTGGAGAAGGCAAATCTCTGGGGCGCCCAGATCCTTCGAGTTCTACAAAACAAGCGATTCGCTCGAGACATCCTCGGTAACTCTGCGGAGCAAGCGTTTCGCTCGAGACATTCTCAACACACGAAAGAGTGGCCCGCACCCTGTGATTTATCGATCGGGATTTCAAAAACAAGCGCTTCGCCTGAGACATCCTCAAATTTTAATCCGCCGGCCCACCTCGACCTCGATATTTATCAGGGAAAGAATCCGCCGGCCCACCTCAGTTCAGGCACCAGGGACAAGTTTACATACTAAAAGAGAACCCTGGGCCCACGCCCTTTCCGGGAAAAGGTCGATCGCTGTGTTGTTCGTGAGGCTCCGGGCGTTTTTATGTATGACCGTGAAGTTCCCATCGTCGTTACTGCGTCGTGGAGTCGTGGTTGTGGTTTGTTGGGGGGCACGGGGGCAGCGGGAAAGGGGGGCGAAAGCGAGCGCGGTGAGGAAGGATGGGATGGAGGGAGCAGGATTCTGGTAGAGATGTGACGCGGGCGCGCCTACCCTGTCCCCAGTAGGAGGAGGTGGAGTTGGAAGACAGCGGGTCACATGTAGAAGATGGAGCGACTGCTGGCACAAGCTGCACTAGGAGGAGCCTCCCTCCCTAGTCTCTGACTCCTGACGTTGGCTGCCGAGGCCTTCGAAGACTCGGAAATAGCAACCCTCGAAGACGCCTGCCGGAGAGAACGAGAACAAGTCGAATGCTAGCGGGGCCAAAGAGTTTCTACTAAAATCAGGTCGGTGTTGAGATGCTCGCCTTCTGCCAGTATCGACCGCTATCATGATGATCCAGGACGGCAGTCCTCAGGGAACCACGTATTTCAGCTGCGCAGCCCAAGCTTTCTCGAAATCCCGTCCGCAACCACGTCAACCAGAAATTCAAATATCAGCAACGGAACATCATCCGCCGCCGTGCCGCGAGGCACGAGCTGGAGTACCCTCCGGTTCCTTGTAGTCCGTAGTCCTCAGTCAATCCCCACGATTGATTTGATATATTCTCAAGGGCCCAGACCCCAGATTCTCACATTTTTTCGGGGCTTTCCCGGCGTGCCGCCCGCAGTGCCCCCCGCGCTTCCCGTACGACTTCTACGGAGCCACGAGCGCCCGAGGAAGCTCCCCATCCCCTCCTCCTCCTCCCCCTTTCCTCTTCCTCCTCCTCCTCCTCCTCCTCCTCCTCCTCTCTCCTCCTCCTCCTCCCTCTCTCCTCCTCCTCCTCCTCCCCCCCCTCCCCCTCCTCCTCCTCCTCCTCCTCCTCCTCCTCCTCCTCCCCCTCCTCCTCCTCCTCCTCCTCCTTCCCGACACCACCCCCAAAACCACGCGCCTTCAGACCGCCCACCCTCTCCGCATCTCCCCCGCCCTCCGAGGTCCTCCTGGCCGCTCCGAGGCCGAGCCCGCGGGCGGCGCACGACGGGGCAGACGCGGGGCCTGTGGGCAGAGGGTTCTCCTTCGCCGGCGAGACGAAGGGGCAGTCGTTGCAGTACTAAGGGCAGCGCTGCTTCCCCAGCGGAGGAGGAGGACGACGACGATTTTATATAATATATATATATATATATATATATATATATATGTACGACCACGTCAGAGCTCAAAGGTGAATGAACGGAGACAATTGTGCTGTAAAGTGCCGAACTCGGCACACTCGCGTGCATTCGTGAGGGCGGAGAGGAGGACGTGTGGGAAGAGGAAGCTCGGCGTGGAAGCTACGCCCGATCTGGGCGGCCCCTGCCCCGCTGCCCTCACGCTGCCTCGCTCTGTATGAGATGTGTTCCTCGGATCCTCGTTCTCCTCCGCCTGATCCAGAGCAGAGGCCTCGAAGGTTCGACAGGCTTGAGAGCGTTGCATTCGCAGGGCTGCGAGCTCGGACACTACAGTGGGGTCTGTTCACGTGCGTATATTTGTCTCATCCTCTTCCTCCCCTTCTCCCTCCCACTCCTGCACCCATCGCACCACTCTCCCCCTGCTCCCTCGTATACGATCGAAACTCGTTTGGCTAGAGCGCGGTCAGCATCCAAATAAGACGTAAGTGGTGCTCCTTTGTCCGAGCTTAGAGCGTGTTCGGGCAAACTTAGACGCGCCTCTCTATCGCTTGTTTCATCTTCCCTCGTCCCTCCTGCCTCCTGCCTCCCGCCTGTGCCCCCGCCTCCACCTGCTCATCCTCATCCTGCTGCTGGTCCTCCTCTCATTCCTACACGCATCTCTCTCCCCCCTACCCTATGTTTCTCCTCCCCGTAACCTGGCTATCCCACCCTCCTCGTCCTCGCAATTATCCACATTAGCCCTCGCTCCTCAATCCCCGATACTTTCCCTGTTCTTCTCTTTCCTCATCCACATCCTTATGAATACGTTCCTGCTCCTCCCCCGTCTCCACCTCCAGATCCATATTCGTACCATGTCCTACCACTCTCGTCCTTCGTTCCCTCCTTCCTACTCGGACGGGAGGCCATCCTTCATGTACCTCGCGTCATTGTGCTTCTTCATCACGACCACGCGAGTAGAACCGCAACCATCGCACCATCTCTCCTGCCAGGGCCCCGCAGAGTGGGAGCGGGGAGGAGGAGCAGGAGGGGCAGATCGGCGGTGAACAGACCTCCCTTTAGTAAGCCTCCCCTCAATGAAAACGGCCTGGGACCGAAACCGACAGACCTGGACCCGCAAAAATGGCGGCCGCGACGCCCTCTCGCGAACCGAAAGCGGCCAATTCCTCAATCGACGTGTCAGGGTAGGAGGTCGATCCACCTCCGAGCAGAGGGAGAACAGGAGGAGAAGACGAGGAGAGGGAGGAGGGGAGAGGGGGCAGAGTGCAAAGAGGACGAGGAAACGAGAAAAAAGGGGAGGGGCACGTGACGTGGAGGAGAAGCGAGGGCACCTAACTTCACGCTCCGCGAAGCAGGACGAGCGAAGAACTGCGCGCCTCTGGGCCGGCCCCGAAGGGAGAAGAGAAGGAGGAGCAGGAGGAGGGGGAGGAGCAGGAGGAGGAGGAGGAGGAGGAGGAGGAGGAGGAGGAGGAGGAGGGAGGAGGAGGAGGAGGAGGAGAGGAGGAGGAGGAGGAGGAGGAGGAGGAGGAGGAGGAGGAGGAGGAGGAGGAGGAGGAGGAGGAGGAGGAGGAGGAGGAGGAGGAGGAGGAGGAGGAGAGGAGGGAGGAGGAGGAGGAGGAGGAAGGAGGAGAGGAGGAGGAGGAGGAGGAGGAGGAGGAGGAGGAGGAGGAGGAGGAGGAGGAGGAGGAGGAGGAGGAGGAGGAGGAGGAGGAGGAGGAGGAGGGGGAGGGGGAGGGGGGGGGGAGGAGGAGGAGGAGGAGGAGGAGGAGGAGGAGGAGGAGGAGGAGAGGAGGAGGAGGGAGGAGGAGAGGAGGAGGAGGAGGAGGAGGGGAAGGAGCAGGAGGGGAGAAGAGGAGGAGGAGGAGGAGGAGGAGGAGGAGGAGGAGGAGAAGGAGCCGAACCGCGAAACGCGAATCCTTTCGCGCCCTCGAGACCTCAGACGATGCCAGGACGAGGACAGAGCCGGGTGAGGACAAGTCGGGAATCTCTGAGATCCGGCGGCTCCGGAGGATGCCTGGAAATGGGCACCAACACCAACACAGAGGGCTGCATCCACAGGGGGGAAATGATCCTAGATTTCGGTGTTGGTGGTAATAGTTCGGCCACCTTGGAAGCCAGGATATTACCACCATCACCGAGATCGGGATCTCCTTCCCTCGGTGGAAGCACACCGCCGATATTGGTGTTGATGTCAACATCAAGGCCTGCGACTCCGGAGGATGCCTCGGGCGCCGCGGCCTCCTCGGAGAGCGCTCCGGGGAAGGCTCTCTGAGAGCGCTCCGGGACGCCCTGGAGCGGACGCATATCCCCGTCCTGGCCCCCCGCCCAGAGGGCGCCCTCGAGGAAGAGGAGGCGAGGAGGAGAGGGGGCAGGGGGAGCAGCAGGCGAGGGAGGGCGCCCTCGAGGGAGAGGAGGCGGGGAGGAGAGGGGGCAGGGGGGAGCAGAAGGCGAGGGAGGGCGGGAGAGGCGAGGAGGAGGAGGAGGCGCGTCGACGGCGGTGGACTGCGCCCGCGCCCGCGAGGGCACGGGGGCCTCGGATACACGTGGGAGGGCGGGGGGCAGCAGCGGAGCGCCCAGGGGCGGGCCCCTCTCGCGAGGGCACTGCGGAGCGGCGGTGCGGCGTCCGTCGTGAGCTGCAGGCCACACTGGTCGGGGGTGGACAGACCTCCCTTTAGTAAAACGTGGTTTAGTGAAAACGACCTGAGGCCCAAACCTGGCGGGCGCAAGCCTGGAAAATAACGGCCACGGCGCCTTCTCGAAAACCGAAAACGGACAATTCACTAATCGACGTGTCACTATTGGGGGTTCTGTCCAGCCCTGAACTGGATGTATGTCGGGCCGGTCCCTCTACAGGAACGAACGAACGAACGAACTGTCATCGCCGCAGAGGGCGACCCAAAGACGGGCGACAGGCGTGTGGCTGAGCACGCTGGCCCTTCGGAAAAGGGCCTGGAAAAGACAGCGCGGTGCACTCTCACCTCCATGAGAAGTTCACGAACTCTTCCTCTTGCTTGTCCCAATCGGCGGTCGTGGCTGCGTAGGAAGGATATTCCAGAATAGTCCAAAAACAGTCTGGGGACTATGTTTTGCATATGCTTTGACCATCTTGGAACATGTTTTTCGCATCTTTTATTGTTCTTCGAAAATCCCCCTGTAGGGGGACGCGCCCGACCTAACACGAGATGGTCAGGCGACATCCAGAGCTCCGCTGGGCGCACCTGAAGCGTGCGGTCGAGGGGCGTGGACGACTGCCACGAGACCACGAGGCAGCGCGCACGACACCACGGTAGGGCATCGCGCCCCCCAGCGACAGCAGCACGGACAGGGAAGAGAGAGAGAGAGAGAGAGACAGAGAGAGAGAGAGAGAGCGCGCACATCGCACTGGTTCGGACGGCAGGTCGAACAAGTCGCCATGCCACACGCGCACGGCAGGCCTTCCTCACAGAGCGGGGGCCCCCGCATAAGAAGCAGGGGTGGTGGGATGACCCCTCCCCCCTGGCTCGGACCACTGGGGCCCCCAGCTGGCACAAATGTCGGGCGGCGGTGATCAGACCAGAGGAACCGTCTGCGCCCCCGTGATGAGGGAGGCACCGTCTCTTGGCGCGCTTTGGCACGCGCTCCTCGGCACCCCGCGAAGTGCGGCGCCGCCCGCCCTGGGGCATCCCCTGCAGCGGTCCAGGAAGAGCAGACCACGAAACGGATGCCAGCTGTGCACGCGGCACGCGCGGGAGGGGGGCTAGCACTGGCGCGCCGCCCTTCGAGCGTCAAAGAAGGCGTGGAGATTGCAGTGGACGGGGCCCCCCAGGTTGCAGCAGGACGGAAGGCCCGTTGCAGGCCGCTCCAAGCCTCCTGCGCGCGGTGGAGCCTGTCAATCAGCGGTGCCGACTGCTCCTGGAGCTGGTGGTGAAAGGGCCATCAGCTGGTCGACTGGCTGGTTACGTGCACGCATGCTGGCGGTGAGCATGGCCTCGCGGCCCCCCTGATGCTGGCCGCTGGCAGGTGCAAGGTGGCGCGCGAGGCCCGGCCTGCGATCCGTGCGCGGCGCAGGCCCGCTGGCGTGCTGGCCTCCCTCCCCCATGGTCGCAAGACTCTGCCCGTCGGTTCCCCGGCGGGCCGAATGGGTGGGCGGGCCAAGCTGCGAGAGGAGAGGGCGGCCGCCGCTTCGCGTGGCCCCGGAGAGCGGCGCGCTGGATGCGGCAGCAGCGGCGTCGGCGTGAGCTTCGGCAGCGTGGGCGCTGTCAGGATGGCGTCGCAGATATGGGAGGTCACGATCGTCGTCGCCCAGGGCAGCTCCGAGAAGGTCGCCGTCGTCAGCGGCGAGGTCGCCCGTGGGTGAGGGCCCGGGGTCGTCAAGTTCATCGAAGTAGTCTGGGCCTCCCGCGCCGCGCCCTCCCCGTCTGCTGGAAAGCGAACTTGTTCCCATGTCGGAGAGCTCCGTCCTGGAGTGCCCTGCTCTCCTGCGGGGCAGAGGGGCGCGCGCCGTCTCTGACCACGCAGCGCGACAACCGTGGTGCGGAGTACCGCAGCGAACTTGTGGCGCCATTCATCGAGCAGGACTCGTCACCTGTGGGATGGTGCGTGGCCTCGCGCCAGCGGTGGCGAGTTCGTGGGCGCGGCGATCGAAGGCTTCCGCGATGGGCGCAAAGTGGTCCTTATTGATGTGTCGCTCACCGAGGTGCCTTTGCAATCCCTGGACTTTGGATAGGTCGGACTTCGCAAGAAGCACCTGGTCGATTTTGCTGCCACTGCTCCGATTGGGTCCCCGCGCGCTAACGCGGTCCACTCCTGCGAAAGTCATCAAACCCGTCAACGACTGCGTGGCGGTCGACGAAGACGTGCACTGGCCGTTCGGCCGTGGCCGCGAGATGCAGCGCGGCGAAGGCTTCGGCTCGTTGCGCGGACTGCGCAAGGCCACGCACGCGGGCTGAGCGGCTGAGCCGGAGGCCCGGGCCCGCAGCACACGCCGCGGCCCGCAGTGGCCGGGAGGGGGCGGGCTCGGCAAGGACTTGCCGCATCGTCATCGGCGCTCCCCTGGGACAGTCTCAGGATGGGCCGCGGGAGCTCGTCTTCCGCCAGGGCAGCTCGGAGGTCGAGCGAGGCGGGATCTTTCTCACGAAGGCCGCAGTGCCTGGCGCGCCATGAAAGATCCTGCCACTGTCGATCGGCGACCATGGTCTTGCGGTCGATCCTCTGGCTTGCACGGCACGGGCATTGCAGAGAGAGGCCGACTTGCCAGTCAAGGCCGCGCGTGGCGGTTGTCACGGCTCCGAGATCGCGCTAGTTAGGACGCGGCGGGGGGCTGCCCTCCGCTGCGCGGCTCTGAGCACGTGGGTGCAGAGGCCACCTGGCAGCCGGAGCCAGGAGAGGCGCGCGCCCTCATCGCCGCACAGGGTTGCAGAGTCAGGCCATGTCCAGGAGAGCTGGGCAATGGCTTGCCAAATTCTACCGACGGGCCCACCCCCTGGGAAGGTTTGCGCGCGGCCATGGAGCGACTCAGCGTTTGCGTCGAGGCTGGTGTCTTTCCGCACCTGCCTTCTGAGTCCTAACAGCGCTTCTCTTTGGGCGATGATGCCTAATTCGATCGCGTGGCCACGGGCAACTAAGGCATAGAGCGCCCACTGCGAGATCCAGGACCGCCACAGGGGTCTGATGGCGCCAGGAGCCGCGTTGTCCTCACAAGGTGTCGCACCCTGTCGCTTGGGGCTTGGATGTCCATGCCCTGGGTGCACATGCTGGCCACGCGGAAGCGGACTGATCGGGCCCTATGGGTGCCTGCGGGAAGGCTTCCGATGCGCGGACGGTCCCTTAACGTTTTCATGACACAGGCACCAGCGGTGGCTTCCAGCTTGATACTAGGGCCCTCGGCCTCTGGCGCCACGCTAGCTCCCTACCAGCTCTACCTGATGGTGAGTTTGAATTGGGCGGTCCGGCAGTTAAGCGCGTCGCCTAGGGCGTCCCTTCTGGCCCGACAGCTCGTCGACGAGAGCTGTCTGGTCGAGAGAGGCCTGAGCTCCGCAGCCGAAGGAGCTGCGGAATCTGCCTGCGTCGCCGCTTCGCCCAGCCAGGCACGAAGATCTTGATGCCGTCGAGGGAAAGGGAACTGCGCTGGCAGGGGCGGCGGAGAGCAGACCCCCCTCTCGCACGCGCACGCAGCGGCTGCGGTTGCTGTGGAGGTCTCGCCTCATACAGTCGGGACGTTGACCTAAGGAACCCTAAATAAGGAACGACGAGGCTCCTTTGCCACATAAGTTAAACTTCGATTTCGCATGGAAAACCTTCGGAAGCCCCAAGGCAAACTGCAAAACAATCAAGGCACACCGAGCCCCTCCCCAATGGAAAGGGTTCCTTCTTCAGCGCCCCAACTGTACGCACATCCTGGAGGCGAGTGTCGGACCCACTGGGCGGCCAACCCGTGCGGCAGATGTCGTTGACAAGGTAGTCAAATCATTTCCGTCTGTCCAGTGCCAGTATTGGGGGGAAAACAAACCGACCTCGCTTTTGACCACCCCCGCTTCCAAGAGACACCAGACGATGCCAAACTGCGGCCTGTACTGGTCAGGCCGCTTGACGAGGAGGCGCGTGATATGACTTGGTTTTGCCTGGAAGCGAAAGCGGGGTAGGTAATTCACGCTCTGAAATATGGCCAGCGGTTTTCGGTGTTGCCACGCACATTCGACTTGAAAGGCGAACGTCGTGCTGACGTCACTGATAGTGGCGCGTGGGACTGCCCCGGAAGTGGTGGGGTGGGTCTAGTGAGCCAGGATGCCGGACTGCGGCAAGCTGGTGCTTCCCACGCGTAGATCCAAATCGACACCTCAAAGACAAGTCTCTGGTCCATGGGAAGTTCACTTTTCCCTTTTCGCAAGCATGGGCTGGGGACGTGCAGAGGGGGGGCTCATGGACGACGCCCGTTCGTTGCGTGGCCCGAAACGCGATGGCAAAAAGGCGCAGGACTCCGACAAGAGGCGGTTTCCCAGCCTCGTTCTGATGAAATGGATGAGGTCTTCGTCCGTCAGGGTGCAAAGGCTGGGTTGGTGCGCTTCAGGCAGTTTCCTGGCGGCACCTCGGCTTCGAAGCCCTCCCACGTGGGCGCGACCGCGTGCTCGTGGCCCTCGGTCGCGCGGCAGCTGCCGAGGATGGGCTCCCATGTGCCAGTCACGAGCTTGATCGTGGCGCGTGTGACGAGGAGGAGGAGGAGGAGGAGGAGGAGGAGGAGGAGGGTCGTGCTTGGCTCTGCCTGGGCTGCGACGCTGCCGCATTCGCTGCCGCCGTCGGCCGCAGGAGCCGCCGGCCACGGCGGTGGAGCACGAGCCCCGTGCCCGCAGGCCCTCTTCGCGCCTGGGCCACCCGCGGGTGCCCTGTTGGCGCGGGAGCTGGGCCGCTGTGGGGGGTGCGGCGATAGGCGGTGCCGGAGTTGTCTCCGCCGCTTTGGCCCACTGACTCTGGGCTCTGCCCCCGTCGGCGAGAGAGAGAGAGAGAGAGTGCGCGTGTGTGTGTGTGTGCGCGAAGAGAGAAATAGAGGGAGGGAAGAAGACGAGAGAGAGAGAGACAGAGACAAAGAGAGAGACAAAGAAATAGAGACAGAGAGAGAGAGAGACAGAGCGAGACAGAGAGCGACAGAGAGAAAACAAAGAGAGAGAGAGAGACAGATAGATAGATAGATAGACAGACAGACAGACAGACAGACAGACAGACAGAGAGACAGACAGACAGACAGACAGACAGACAGACAGACAGACAGACAGACAGACAGACAGACAGACAGACAGACCAGACAGACCAGACAGACAGACAGACCAGACAGACAGAGAATCAGACAGACAGACCGACAGACAGACAGACAGACAAACAGACAGACAGACAGACAGACAGAGAATCAGACAGGCAGACCGACAGACAGACAGACAAACAGAGAGACTGAGAGACAGGAGGGAGGGCGGAAGAGAGAGAGAGAGAGGAGAGAGGCACAACAAGAGAACGTAAAAGAAGATGATCCTCCTCCTCCTCGGTCTCGCTGAACCAGATGTCCGCGTCCCTGTATGGTTCGGGCTCCTCGGGCCCAGTCCGGCTCCGCAGTCCCGCGCGTGCTGCTGACGCGCCGACTGCGGGGAGGACGCTCCCACCTCGTACTCTCCCCCGGCATCCTCCAACCCCCCTGCGTCCACTTCCTCCTCCTCCTCCTCCTCCTTCTCCTCCTCCTCCTCCTCCCCCTCCTCCTCGTCCTCGTCCTCTTCCTCCTCCTCCTCCTCGTCCTCGTCCTCCTCCTCCTCCTCCTCCTCTATCCTCCTCCTCCCCCTCCTCCTCCTCCTCCTCCCATCCTCCTCCTCCTCTCCTCCTCCTCTCTCCTCCCCAGCGTCATCCTCCTCCGCCTCCTCCTCGTTGTCCGCCTCCTCCCCTCCTCCTCTCGTCCGTCTGATCCCCCATCCTCCCCCTCTCCTCCTCCTCCTCCGCCTCCTCCTCCTCCTCCTCCTCCTCCTCCTCCTCCTCCCTGGTGACTTGGCGATGCGGCCAGTGTCGAGCGATCGCCCCGATGCCCTCGATACCCTCCCCCAGCCGGTGTTGGACGAGCGCAGAACAGAAGCCAAGAGGAAAGAAACAAGACAAGAAGGACGATCCACGAAGGATGATGATTTTGGACGCCCGAAATGGGTACGGAAAGAATGGGCAATATGCCCAACAGCAAATGCTGTCCCGAACCAACCGCGGCCGCTGTTGGGCAGGCGGCCCTCTGTCTCGAATGGACACGGGCCGCGGCGGCGTGCAGGGCGAGCCCTGTTCAAAAGGAACAGAAACTGCTGTTGGGCATTGTACCCATTCTTTCAGTGCCCATTTCGGGCGTCCAAGGACCTCACCTCCTCATCCGTCCATGGAGTCGAGAGCACCGGGGGTTCACGCCACGAGCAGAGAGCGCCGTGGGTGGAGAAGGAGGAGGCGGAGGAAGAGGAGGAGGAGGAGGAGGAGGAGGAGGAGGAGGAGGAGGAGGAGGAGGAGGGGAGGAGGAGGAGGAGAGAGGAGGAGGAGGAGGAGGAGGAGGAGGCACGTCGGTGAGGTGCTGGCGACGCTCGTTCGCGCCGGCGCTCTGCGGATGCAGCGGTGGCCCGAGCGTGGGCCCCAAGCCCCCCTTGGGGGGGGGGGGGGAGCGGAAGCACACCCCTGCGCGCCACGCCTGCAGCCGCCTCCTCCTCCTCCTCCTCCTCCTCCTCCTCCTCCTCCACCTCCCCTCCTCCTCCTCCTCCCCTCCACCTCCTCCTCCTCCTCCACCTCCTCCTCCTCCTCCTCCTCCTCCTCCACCTCCTCTTTCCTGCTCGGGTTTTCTGCCAAACCCCACGCGCCGGGTTTGGGACTCCGCCAGCCGACGAAACTGCGCAGAGATCCAGCTGGCCCGTTGAAGGCTCAATTTCGGAGGCGCGGTCCCAAGATTTTACAGACGGCTCGACGAATGAACCGCTTTGGGCGCGGATCAATTCTGAGGGTTGGCTACCACAAAAAACACTGAACACTGAACACTGCGCCCCCACGTCGCGAGCGACGGCCTTCCGAGGGGCGGGGCGGTTGCGCCTCGGCGCCGGCAAATATGTAGAACAAATCACAACAAGGGAGGCGGGATGAGGAAGAAGAGGGCGACGAACCGGCCAGCAGGTTTAATCACCTTGACTATGCTGTTGTCCCTGCACGCAAGGTTCCTCCATTGGGACCATAGAACACCATCCGGCGCAATGGTGTGCCAATCGTATCCGAAGCTGTGTGGATGAACTTTGCAACATCATCGAGCCACCTTTTGTTGTCGGTGTGGTAGCCTCCTAGCACGCATATTGGTCGCGGCTAGATCCCATAATATCGCCTGCCGGCTCCATTTGGCAACGTCGTCGTTGATCGTGGATACAAACTGTCTCAATTGTAGTCGCCGTTGCCGTGTACACCAATATTCATGCCCCATTTCGTGGCAGTAGCCTTGAATATGCCTTGTCGCGCGCTGTATCCAATTGATCCAGGGTTCGAGAGAGTCCATGAAGTGCGTGAACTGGATACTGTGGTTGCTACCAGTGCTGGTTTGGGTGTCGCTGCTGTCATACTCGCTGTCTGCAGTGATACCAGTTCCGTCGCAGCGTCGTTCCCCACGTGCTGCCTCTGGACCAAGGCGTCGTGGTGACCGAAATACCATTATGAGCATGTGCGTTGCGTCGACCGCACTCGCAACTCGAGAGGACTTGTCATCGTCTAAGAGCCGGAACCATACAGCAGTGTCGGCGTAACAGTGCCATTTAACAGTCGGAGTCTGTCTTCCAGAGAATATGAACGTGTAGTTCGTTATTGCTTGAACAGGCCAGATTTTCTCCATGCCGCCTTGACTCTGACTTCAACCTCTATCGCAGTCGGCCCACTGAAAGTAATCCCACCAGCCCTCTGGGCGACGCGTAGTCTAAGGAGGGTCTTTTTCCTCTTCCACAACCCCTCTTCCCTTCGGGGAGGGGAACCCTTCCCATGGTATCAGGTGCCTCCCAGATGGGGTCGGAGTAGAGGGGCTCGGAGGATCGCGCCGCATCGACAACGCATCGCCGATACATCGCCGATGCATCGCAGACGCGTCGGCGACGTCGGCGTGGACAAAAATCGCGCTCCGCATCGAGCCGCATCGTCGATGCATCGGCGATGCGGCGCGATCCTCCGACCTCATCTAGTCCGACCCCATCTAGGAGGCCTAGAAATATGCGCGCGAGGGGAAGGGGTGGGCCCGCGTAACGACCGTTGAGCGCCAGATGAGAACAAAAACCATATCGTAGCGCCGCGGCGCTGCTGTGTCATCCAGGGTCGACCCATCAGTACTTCATCGCCCCAAAGATTGGCCTGCAAACCATCAAGCTGGTGCCTCTCCCAATGATGGCTCGCACCACGAAGGGTCCACCCAAAACACTATCGTAGCTCCGCGGCGCTGCTGTGTCGTCTGGGATCGGCCCATCAATACTGGATCGTGTTCAGACGTGCCTGCAAACCATCAAGCTGGGGAAGCAAACCGGTACCGATGCCGCTACTCCCCAGACCTCTCCCAATAGCAGTATCTAGAAAAAGAAGAAACGCCATAGACATAAACTGTTGGCGCTCCGCGCGGATTTCTCGGATCCGCGCTGACCCCCCTCCCTGGCGGGCGGAGCGCGCCAGAGGCGGCGCCGGAGGCGTCACCAGGGGGGCCGAGCGCAGATCCAAGAAATCCGCGCGGAGCGCCAAAAGTTTATGTTCATGGCGTTTTCTCTTCCAGTATCGGTACCTTCTCCTCCTCCGACAAGCTGGTGCATCTCCCAACGATGGCTCGCACCACAAAGGGCCAGCCACTGACCCAGGACAAGCAGAGCGCCGCCGTCTCGCTCGTCACGGGTAGCGGCCGCTGCCACATGCAACCCGGCGCCGCTGCTACAGCAGGTGCCGCTCACGCCGGAGCCGCGTCCGGCTCCTCATCGTGCGGGGATCGCTAAAGATTGGAGCCCCTGGGGCCACTCTGGGCCTCGAGCGGGGTGCTCTGGAGGCCGTGGGGGCCTCGTTGGAAATCCTGGGGGCACCTTGGGCCAAGGGCACTTCCAGCAAAACCCGAATCGTGAAGTTCCTTCCCCCGGAGAGCCCGAAGTGCGTGATCACGGTCGCGAGTTCTGTCCCCCTTCCTCCGCATGGGTCTGCTCTTCCCCCGTCCTGCCATGATGACTCAGGACGGCACAGCCCGCCCCTCTTCCTCCGCATGGGTTTGGTCTTACCATGATGACTCAGGACGGCGCAACGCACCCCCAGCCCCAAGCCCCAACCAGAACCCCCTACCATCATCATCATCATCATCATCATCATCATCATCATCATCATCATCATCATCATCATCATCATCATCATCATCATCATCATCATCATCATCATGATCATCATCATCATCATCATCATCATCGTCATCATCAGCATCATCAACCTCATCAGCATCATCATCATCAGCATCATCATCACAGCATCATAATCCTCATCCTCATCCTCATCCACATCCTCATCATCATCAACATCATCATCATCAGCATCAACAACATCAGCAGCAGCATCCTTCCTCGGGCATCCTCGTGCCTCTCCTCCACGTCGTCCTGCCCTACCATCTCCAGTTCATCCGCCCTCATCATCGTCATCCTCATCATCGTCACCGTCTGCCTCCATGTGTTCCTCCTACTTCCTGTCATGTCCTATTCCTTCCCTTCATTCCTCCTCCTACTCCTCCTCCTCATCGGCCCTACTCGTCCTGCTTGTTGTCCTTCTGATGCTGGCGATCTGGCAGAAGGAGAAAGAGCAGCCGAGGCTGAGAATGGTGAGAAAGCAACCGAGTCCTTCATTCTGGCGATCAGCCTGAGCCGGTCATCTATGTTGTCCTGCCCAGATTCGGCGGCGGTATCTCCTCAGAGCTCCCTGCACTCGCTCCACCTGCCTGTCTTTTGGCTGCAGGTCCAAAAGTGGCCTCAGGGAGGGACTTCGGGTCCGGCGGGGCAAGCGAGTGGGAGAAGAGAGAGGGTTAGGGAGGCAAGGGGATAGATGCGAGAGAGAGAGAAGGGGAAGTGGGAGGGGGGTGCGGGGGCAAGCCAGATGTGCTCGCGCCACAACCGACGTCCTGACCCCTCACCCATTTCTTCTCGTTGCGCTGCCATACGGCAGAGACGGAGTGAGTAGATAATCCGAGTACGCTTCTGGGAGGTCTCGATCACAAAAAAAACGTTCGTTGCGTTGAATCCTCTCTGCCCGCCGAACGGGATGATCTAGAAAGCCTTGGCCCCCAACTAGCAGTCGCAGCGCTTCAGCTATCGTCGGCTATATGCAAGCGACGACGGAGGCCCTTGCACATGAAAGGTGGACGAGGAGCAGCAGCTGCAGCTCGCCATCGCTCGGACGTCCATTCCCCGTGCGTGTCTCCGTTTTGTGCGTGCATATTTTTTCGCCAGGTGACCTCAAATGCTCCTCGATGGTCCTTGCCGAGAACAATCGGGAGCGGCCAAGAGGGGGGTGTCCAAGAGGGGGGGGTGCAAATCATGAACGGCGGCATGTGCGCGGCCCAGCGGGGGGGCCAGGAACGTAATGAAATAAGAAGAGGCGCCATGACATCTATGGAAAAATCATGGCCCCCGCCATGATATCCACCCCCCCCCCCTAGTCATCACCCCCCTCTTTTCCGCCCCCGAAACAAATGCACACGTCCGACTCCGAGCGACGCCAGGGCAGAGCGAGGCAAGTGAGGGAAAAGAGGGGCGACGACACCGCCAACGAAGGCCTCGGATCCAGCAGTGCGACCCGCGCTTGGGCGCGAGAGTGCCAGTCCGAACGAACGAAGCACGGTGGCACCGATCCACAACTCCGCCGACCCCCGCATGGCGGGGATGAAGAGGCGTAAGAAACCTGATCGGACAAGAACGGGGAGCGCCGCTTTAGTCTAATGGGCGTATTGGGCGAGGAAGAAAAGGAAGGCGAGGGCAACGAGGAGTCGATGGCGAGGACGATGTGGCGGACGTGAGGATAGCGAGGAGGAGCATGAGGACAACGAGGAGGAAGAGAAGCACAAGGACGAGGACGAAGAGAACGAGGGCGAGTACGAGGAGGAATGCGGAGGGCGATGATGACGACGACGACGACGACGACGATGAAGAGGCGTAAGAAATTCGGCTGTCCGCCTCTTCCTTTTCCCCGCCCCTGGAGTCCAGAGTGCCGTTTGGGAGGGAGGAGGGGGAGTTTGAGGGGTGAAGGGGGGACGAGCTCGCCAACGCACCCCTGGGGCCTCCAGAGCCTCCAAAATGCCCAAGCTGGCCCAGACAGCGCGAAGACAGTCGAAGAGCGCGTCGAGACGGCCCAGAGCAGCCCCACGACGAACTAAGATGACTTCAAGACGGCCCACACGGCCCCCAAGACGGCCCACAAGTGATCCAAGAGGAACGCCGAGAAGGCACAAAGAAGCAAACATCGTTTCATTCCTTTCGAAGAATGTACATGGTCAGCATGCTCTCGGTTTTTGTCTGGATAACTTCTTGGACTGCCCAAGGGACCCCCAAGATCGTCACAAGACGGCCGATGAGGCCCAAGAGGCTCCCAAGACAGCCCCCAAGACGGTCGAAGAGGCCTCCAAGACGCCAAAGATGATCTTCAAGGTGACCCAGAAGCGCCCCATGCGGGCCCCAAGACAGCCCAAAGAGGCTCCGAAGACGCCTTCCGACGGCGTCAGACGGGCCAGGAACGCCGTAAGACTGCCAAAGAGGTCCCCAATAAGCACCCAAATGCCCCCAAGAGGCCCAAGGAGGCTTCCAAGATGCCTCCAAGAGGCCCCCAGGAAGCTCCCAGGAGGCCCCAAGAATGACTCAATAAGCTCCCAGGAGGTCTCCTCATCCTTCTCCTCATCCTCCTTTGTCCTTCCTCTCCTCATCCTCCTCTTCCTCCCCCACGTGCTTCCCGAAGGGCTTCCACAACAGCTGGCGGAACGCATGGTCCAATATCGTGGCCAAACTTTTCCCAAACGTTTGGCCACATAGGCGCTTCCTAAAAAGGCAGGGGGCAGCGGTGATTCGCTGTAGGCGTATTCGATCGCTTCCACGATCGTCGCAAGCTCTGCCTCCTTCTGGGGGTCGGAGGAATGATGTAAGCCACTTGAATATGCCAACGCAGCAGCGGGAGCAGAATTCTGAAGGACCTGGAGACAGGGATATAGATCGATGGCGCTGTAGGCGTGGAGGCAGAAGTATCAGCAGACAGGCTCCCGATAGCGAAACCGAATGATCCTGGGCGGGTTGAGCTATCAGAACCCTATCGGCGATGAATGGGCGAGTGGATGTCGACGCGCTCAACTTGAGCCTGTCCCCTTTTCTAGCGTTGCCCTTGAGATCAGGCGAAAAATGCCGAAAGGAAGAGGGCGTCAGCTCACCAATACGCCGCTCGTCACGCACTCTTGCTCTAGCACACCCATCTGAGCATCGTTGCACCGATCCACTTCCCCGCTGGCGTAGCCTGGGCCCCACTGGCCGATTTACCCCCCTAGATGGGGATATAGAATGTTCCCCTCCTGCTGCGTGCCGTCCTGTTGTTGCTCTTCACTATCTTCATCCTCGTCCTCCTCCTGTTCCCCATCCTCCACCTCTTCCTCCTCCTCATCCTCCTCCTCCTGGGATTGGGATGGGGATGGGGATGCAGTCGGACTTGAATGGACAGGACACGCGAGAGGACACAAGACCCTTCCGAGGGCCACACTGCCATGGGAATGCAGGAGGCATGGGTCGCGAGTCGCGAGGCACAAGGCACGAGGGTACTCTTGATTTGGCAGCGTCGACCTGCGAATCGGGGCCGACCGCAGGGATCGGTGGAACGATACTGGCCCTCCGACCCCGCCGCTCCCCTCCTCCTCCTCGTCATTCTGGTCGACGAGGCGGCCATCGTCCTGGGGCTGCCGGCACTCGTGGGGCGCGCGGGGAGGACAAGCTGGGTGCGCTCGCGCCGCATCTGACGTCCTGGCCCTCCCTCCCATGCTTTCCCGTGGCGCCGATGTTCCCTCTCCGCGGACGCGTGTCACAGCCGACATGCGACTCCCTCGGAAAGACCACTCCGTGCTATGTGCGAGCGGAAAGAGGGGGGCCGCGTGCACGGGATGGGGACGTGGCGAGGGAGCAGGAGGACCGGGACGAACAGCAGCAGCCGGGACTAGAGCGGAAGGGTCGGGAGGAGAAGGAGGACCGGGGGAAGGCGGAGAAGAGGAATGGGGGCGACAACGATGAAGAAAGACTCGGATTCAGAAAAGTGGCCCCGCTGGGGCGAGGCGAATAGCAGCAGGAGCTGGAGTGGGAGGAGCGGAGGAAACAAGAGGACCAGGGGAAGGCGGAGGAGGGGAAATGAGGGGGTACCACACTGAAGCCAGACTCGGATCCAGCGAAATGGTCCGCGCTGGGGTGAAAGCGCCGTTCTGAACGACGGGAGGAAAGCACTGATCCGAAAATGAGACGCAGGCTGCAGCGGGAGCGTGAGGAGGGGGAGAGGGATGAGGGGAGAGGAGGGGGAGGAGGGGGAGGGGGAGGAGGGGGAGGGGGAGGGGGAGGAGGGGGAGGAGGGGGAGGAGGGGGAGGAGGAGGGGGGACAGGCTAGGTGCGCTCGCGTCATATCTGACATCCTACCCCTCCCTCCCATCCCTTACCATGGCGCAGATCCCCTCTCTACTCGCTCAGTCGGATGTCGAGCAGGGCAATGATCCCGAAAGGGTACGCGATGCATTGTAGAGCACGGCATGGCATGGCGTAGAGCACCGCAAAGCGTAGTATCAACCTAGCATTGCATTGCATGCCGTGGCGAGAGCACGAGTCGAAACGAGCGGAAGCGCGGAAATGAGGCCAACGCTGCAGCGGGAGCACGATTCGGAACGAGCGGAAGCACGGAAATGAAGCCAGCGCTGCAGCGGGAGCACGATTCGGAACGAGCGGGGCCCGAAAATGAGGCCGGCGCCTCAGCGAGAGCAGCATTTTGGGAAAAAAATGCAGGCGAAATCCCAACTCTGGGGAAACCTGTGTGAAAAATTACCCTGGCGACGTACCCAACCCCTGCGCAAACGCGGGGCGCAAATAGTTTAGGACACTTTATAAGGGGGGCGATGACGGAGCGAGGGTTACATATGTCTGCAGACGGAATTCGGGAGACTCGCAGGACACTGGCTTCAGGACAAGGACTAGATAAAGCTGATTAGTTGCAATCCCTGAGCAACCCTAGCAACTTCGAAAGCGGGGATCTCAGATCGCAACCCCCCAGGGATGGCGAGGTCTAATTTGGGTCCGCCCTTGGCGTCACTGTGCTGGGCCCCCCAGCGGGCCTCGAAAGTGGCGACAGTTTCACAGTTCGCAGCCCTCCAGGGATGGCGAGGTCCAATTTGGGTCCGCCCGTGGCGTCACTGTGCTGGGCCCCCCAGCAGGCCGCAAAAGTGACGACAGTTTGACAGATCGCAGCCCCCCAGGGATGGCGAGGTCTGATTTGGGTCCGCCCGTGGCGTCACTGTTCTGGGCCCCCCAGCAGGCCTCGAAAATGGCGACAGGTTCACAGATCGCAGCCCCCCAGGGATGGCGAGGTCTAATTTGAATCCGCGCGTGGCCCTCACTGTGCTGGGCCCCCCAGCAGGCCTCGAAAATGGCGACAGTTTCGCAGATCGCAGCCCCCCAGGGATGGCGAGGTCTAATTTGAATCCGCGCGTGGCCCTCACTGTGCTGGGCCCCCCAGCAGGCCTCGAAAATGGCGACAGTTTCACAGATCGCAGCCCCCCAGGGATGGCGAGGTCTAATTTGAATCCGCGCGTGGCCCTCACTGTGCTGGGCCCCCCAGCAGGCCTCGAAAATGGCGACAGTTTCACAGATCGCAGCCCCCCAGGGATGGCGAGGTCTAATTTGAATCCGCGCGTGGCCCTCACTGTGCTGGGCCCCCCAGCAGGCCTCGAAAATGGCGACAGTTTCACAGATCGCAGCCCCCCAGGGATGGCGAGGTCTAATTTGAATCCGCCGCGTGGCCCTCACTGTGCTGGGCCCCCCAGCAGGCCTCGAAAATGGCGACAGTTTCACAGATCGCAGCCCCCCAGGGATGGCGAGGTCTAATTTGAATCCGCGCGTGGCCCTCACTGTGCTGGGCCCCCCAGCAGGCCTCGAAAATGGCGACAGTTTCGCAGATCGCAGCCCCCCAGGGATGGCGAGGTCTAATTTGAATCTGCGCGTGGCCCTCACTGTGCTGGGCCCCCCAGCAGGCCTCGAAAATGGCGACAGTTTCACAGATCGCAGCCCCCCAGGGATGGCGAGGTCTAATTTGAATCCGCGCGTGGCCCTCACTGTGCTGGGCCCCCCAGCAGGCCTCGAAAATGGCGACAGTTTCACAGAACGCAGCCCCCCCAGGCAAGACAGGAAGAGGCAGGGAGGGAGGAGGAAGAAAGAGTGGAGACCACACTGCTCTATTCAAAACGAATACCCAACCAAGGAGGGTTGGGAAAAACAATACGCGGGGGGGGTCGGCCACATTCAAACCGTCATCAGGGGAAGAGGGAGAGTAGCATTCATATTGAGTAATTGTGGAGGGGGAGGAGGGGGAGGAGGCCGAGATGGAAGGAGTCGGCTGCTCCGCACGCAGCAGCAGATCGGGCCACATGCCCGGGTGGCAGGCGCCGCTCTCCGATCCCCCGTCCATCCTCCCCCCCGGGTCCCCCATCCCTCCTCCCCCGCCTATTCGTGTGTGCCTCTCCCCCTCCCCCGACCCCCGTGCCCCCGGCCCATGCCCCTCCGCGCACCCCCTCTCCGTCCCTGCCCCCCTCCCCCCATCCCCGCCCCCGGTCCCCCCGGCAGCACTCTCAAACTGCCTTTCCTCCGCCCATCCCAACCCCTTTCCCTCTTCCCTTCTAGCTCCGCCGTGCGTCCCCCACCCTTTATCCCCCATCCCCCTGCTCACCCTCCCTCCCTCCCTCCATCCATCCCTTCTTCCCCCCTTTCCCATCTCCCATCCATCATCCCTTCACTCCATACTCCCTCCCCCGTCCCTTCTTCCAAGGTGTCCTAGTGAATCACAGTCTGCCCGCGAGTTCTCACGCTGGCCTGCCCACCTTGTAGGCTTGCACCCCAGAGCGAGCACTGACATCTGCTTCAGCGCCGAACGTCCTCAACACCATCAATTCGTCTATCCCACTCCCATGTGCAGCAGCATGCTTTACCGCGCCTTCGCTTTCGGTGCACGAGGGGAGGCAAACAATCTTCGCAGCAGGTGGGCCACGACGGCAGAAGGAGAAGCAGGACCAGTATGGGGAGCATGAGGATGTCGAACGTGGAGGAGCAGGTGAAGAGGAAAGCGGTTCGCCAACATATTGGTCAAGAGATGCCGTCGTCCTCTGTCTTCTCGGACAAGAAAAGCCACTGAGTGATGTATTTCGGGCAGTTCATGAGGATGTAGAGCGTGTATCTCGCAAGCACACGGGGTATCGTGAAAGAAAGCAGGCATAGACCATGCCCGCCGTTTGCACATGCCCAAGAGATACCGATACAACTACCCCCGGGACCTCTCTCTAGGCGCGTTATGACCAGGATTGCGGAGCGATCCAGCCGTGGCAACGAGGGACTGCTGTCAGCATCAGTATCGGTGTCTCTCCATCGTCTGAAGAGAAGCATGGGCCCCATATTTTTGTTCGTTGTGCAACTGCTGCCAACTGTTCACCCGTCGGTCGGAAGAAGTAGGTAGAAACATGATGTAGGAATGCGCTGAAAGCTGATTGGGCTCGCGCCGCCCCCTGAGGAGGGAAAAGGAAAAACCGCTCAACCCTTGAAGTAGGAAGGCGCCTAGAATAGACTGGGGTCTGGGAATACAAGAATACCCACTTCCAACGACCGGCGTGCAGTGTATTTCCAACGAGCCTTGCCCAGGGGGTCCGGCCTCGCACAAGTCAGAGGTGGCAGGATGCAAAAGAAGCGGGGCGCACCGTTCAGACCCACGAAGGCGTCCAGGCAGCGGCAGCGCAGTGGGTGGAGCAGGACAAGAGGGGGCAAAAAGGGTGGCGAACATTGCCTTCTGGCGGCGAGCACAAGGGGGCTATGCGTGAGCGGGGAAGGCTTCTTAAAAGGAGACTGCTTCTTAGAAGCCGCCGGCCTCACGTCTGTAGACAAGGCCCGCGCCTTCTAAGGAGAAGCCTCCTTCCATGAAGCCTTCCCCCCTCCCCCCCCTCTGCGCGTGGCTGGGACTTTCGGCGGTGGACAAACCTCCCTTTAGTACACCTCCCCTTAGTGAAGACGGCCTGGGACCGAAACCGACGGACGTAGACCCGCAAAATGACGGCCGCGGCGCCCTCTCGCGAACCGAAAACGGCCAATTCCTTAATCGACGTGTCAGGGTAGGAGGTCTGTCCACCCCCGAAATTTGGGATCGCCGATACGTCGCCGATAGATCGGCGACGAACTCCCGACAGCGGAGCCGCACGTTCCGGGGCGCTGGTTCAGACACCCGGGCCCCGATCGGCGATGACTGATGAAAGACTGGGGACCTTGGCGGCTTACAACTCGAGTGCTTGCGGGCGAGCGCCCCTGACCCACACAAATGAGCCACTCGCAGTGCCAGCTGCATACGCTCGAAGGCCCAAGTCCAAGAGCTCACTAGAAGAGTCGTACTGGACAGGTTCGTGGGCCGCGTCCACGTGATGTGTATAGGTCGATGTCGAAAAAATGAATTCGCTCGGCTTCGAGCCCCAGCGGGCCAGCACGCCACAACAATATAGCCAGCCTCTCGCCCGCGAAATTTGTGTTGGAGGTGGCTTCCGAGGAAGCCCTGTCGCGCCGCCCCGCAGAGGCCGCCGAGGCGGCGCAGGCCCGGGCAGCAGAGGCCGCCGAGGCGGCGTAGATGTAAGCCGCCCTGAGCCGCAACCAAAAATGACGATCAGGATAATTGCGCGCTGGTAGTATAGGCCGGTAGCATCGGTAGCATCAAAACTTGGATACTTCCCAGCAGATTGCGACGAACCACAATATAGATAACTAATCCAACGGCTGCCAAGCTCGCTTCTGAGATTCTAAACTGCATATCGAAGGACTCACTGGCGTTTATCATTCCTCTGCTTTGGCTGACCAACACCATCCCCACCCATAGCATCGCCCTCCTCCCCGTCCTCGTCCTCGCCTTTGTCTCCGCCTTTCTTGCGGAGGCTCATGAGCCACTTGATGGTCGGTCCGTCCTGCGCGTGCATCGAAGCGATCTGGATGGACTCGGATGCCGAAGATCTGTTTGCACGACTCCAGTCGATCACAATAGCGAGGGCCTGATGGACGCCCCCTCTCTCTGGGCGCCCACCCCGTCCCCCCCGCCCTGGCCCCCGCTGCCCCCCCCCACAAGCCTCGGGGGGGAAAAAACAACCTCGAGAGGGGGAGAAAAAAAACACAAAAAAACAAAAAACATAAAAAACGATTGAAACAATACAAGCCTCGGGCCCCCCGGCGCCCCCCCGCCCCCCCCCCCGGGGAGGGAAAAAAAGCCTTGGGGGGGGGAGAAAAAAGAAGCCTCCGAGGGAACAAAAAAAAAAAAGCCTCGAGGCCCCCGGCCCCCCCTCCCCCCCCCCCAGGGGGGGGGGGAAAGCCAAGACCGACAAAATCACCTGCCAAACTAACAACACTCGGAAGAAACTGCCAAAGGTGCACCAGAGACACTTCCGATTACAGGAGTACTCAACGAACATGCCGAGGCCGCACGTGACGCAAACAACATAGACTGCCGCCATACACAGACCTGACGAGTTTACCAGGAAAACGCTGCCTCCCAGGGACGGCGCCACGACATACTCCAGCACCAAAGCAAAGAAGAAACGCCGTGCCAAGGACAAGCATCAACTCCATGGGAACCCGTGGACCGAGGTGTTCCCCGGCGGGGGCGTCCTCGGGTATTCCAGCTCAAGGTGGCGACGTTTTGCCGGAGGTGTCTCCAACTCATCCTCCTCATCCTCCTCATCCTCCCAATCCTCACTCCTCAACGTCCTTGGACGCGTCGGCCACCGCCACTGCCGCTGTCGCCGTCTCCCGAGTCGGTGGCCCTGACGAGGGGGAGACAGCGGCAGTGGCAGCGCCGAAACGCACCCAGAGTCCAGCAGGGCATGAGGGTGCAAAACCGACCAGGCTCTGGGTAGGGCCTGTGCTCAGGGGAGGCGGCAGCACCGCTCAACGACGTGCTGTCAGCCAAGCCTGCAAGGCCGTGCACTTCAGCTTTGGCTTCGGCTGCAGCTGCCGATGCACCGTGAAGCGCCTTCGGGCCAGCTCACCAGAGTCGGATTTTCTGCTCGCACGGGTGCTCACCCCCCCCACACACCCTCCCCCCCTGCCCTCCGCCCCCGGCCGAGGGCGCCTGAGCACCTTGCGGCGCACGTGCTTCACCTCCTTGACCTCGATCTCCCAGAAAGACTCGCCCACATTCAGCCACTTGGGGTCCTCAAACTCCTCAGCGGCTGCGAGGATGGGAAAGGGGGGAAGAGAAAGAAAGAGAGATGGGGGGCAAGGCGGAGATGACCGGGGGGAGGGAGGAGGAAAGAGGAGGAGGACGGGAAGACTCTACGCTTCCTTTGGGGGCGGAAGGCCCTCCGGGCAGTTGAGCCTTGCAAGCGCAGCCACCAGACTATAGGCACCACGGGCTTCGAAACCCCAGCGCGCGGCGCGCGGCGCCACCTCCAGCTGCCGTGGACCCAGGGACTTTGTGGGCCCCGGAAACGGCAGGCCCGTTTTTTTTCACCGTTTCCAAAAAAAAAATGTCCCTTGAAAATGGAAACGGCAAAAAAACGGCGACCGGAAACGGCTAAAAAAACTGCTCCAGGATTGGAACCGGAGCCGGAACCGGTCAAAAAACGGCGACGGAACCGGCAAAAAAACGGCGTCGGAACCGGCAAAAAAACGGCAAAACGGAACCGGTAAAGAAACGGCCCTGTCGTTTCCAGGGCCCACTAAGCCCAGGGATACAGTCGGGGTGGATTGGAGAGGCGGGGCCGGGCTGCCCCCGGTGGGAGCGTGCCCGGGCCCGGCTGCACGGCAGGGCGAGTCGCCACCGACTGGCTCGCCATCGCCCAGGCGTCCACTCCCAGCAGTGCACGCTTCGGTCTCGCGCGCGGAGGTTCCACAGGATGGCTCCAAAAATGCTCCTCGATGGTCCTCGCCGAGGATAGTGACTACCTACCAGACCAACCCAACCCAACCCGAAGACCCGAATTTCGGGTTGGGGGGGCACGGGCGCCACACGTGCTTCTTCAGTGTTCCCCGACACCCCCCCCACTGGAAATGGAGGGCAAATTGAGGCCTCCTCCTCCTCCTCCTCCTCCTCCTCCTCCTCCTCCTCCTCCTCCTCCTCCCCCTCCTGCTCCTACTGAGGTGGCTTGGTGGGTGGCGAAATAGAGGCACACGTCCGAGCACAGCCAAGCTGGGTGGCAGGAGGGGGCGAGCTCCTCGGCGCTCCTCCCGAGTTCTGCGCGGATAGGGGGCCACATGCGAACCCTACCCCACCCCCCCACGATTTCCGAGGGGGAGGATGGGGTTCACTTCGCTCGAGAGCTCCCGAACGAAGTAAACCCCACCCTCCCCCTCAGAAATTGTGGGGGGTTGGGGTAGGGTTCGCATGTGGCCCCCTAGCGGACCTCCGGTCAAGACGTCGGGACGCCGAGGACAGCGAGAGACTGGTCGGGCGGCGAAGGTGGAGAAAGGCAGAGGCCTGGCCGGGCAAGCGGAAACGACGTGGCAGAAACGGGGTCGACCCACGAGCCCGGGAAGGGACTGAGGACTGCGACGCGTGGGCACGTCTCCCAGTACCTCGCTTGGGCGACGGGCAGCGGCAAGGCTGACGATAGCAGTGGCCATGATGCTGTGCCAGCGGCTGCGTTGTGCTGCTCTGCGCTGTGCCGCGCCGCACAGTCACGTGCCAGGGGACGCGCCACGGAACGAGCCAGCGGACGTGCCACGGGACGTGCCAAGGGACGCGCAGCGCGATGAGCCAGGGGGACGCGCTACGGGACGCGCCACGGAACGTGCCAAGGGGACGTGCCACAGGACGTTTCATCGGACGTGTCACGGGACGTGCCAAGGGACGCGCCGCGCGACGTGCCAGGGGGACGCCCCGCGGGACGCGCCACGGAACGTGGCGCGTCCCCCTGGCGCTGGAGCTTAGGGCTCGCCCTGGAGCGTTAGGACCCCATGTTTGTCACGTTTGTCCTGCCCTGGGGCGTTAGAAAACATTATGCGTCCACACTTGTCCCGCCCTGCGGCGTTGGGAACCCATGCGTTCTGGAACGAAAGAATTCATGTGTTAACATCAGGGCGAAAATGACCCATTCCAAAGACGCGGTCCTCTACTGTTTCCTTGTCCCCACATGCTTAATGGGGTTATGGTTTTCTTCCTTCCCGCGTCGGACCCACGTTTCCTCCTCACCCATCCTTCTCCTCCTCTTTCTCACACAGCACGGCACAGCGCAGCGCAGCACAGCACAGCAAAGCATAGCACAGCTCAGCATAGCACAGCGCAACACAGCACACAGCACATTGACACACATCACGTACACAGCACAGCACAGCACAGCACAGCACAGCTCAGCTCAGAACTGCACATCACAACACAGCACAGCACTGCACAGCACAGCACCTCAGCACAGCAAAGCTCAGCACAGCACAGCACAGCACTGCACTGCACACCACTGCACAGCACAGCACAGCACAGCGTCCCCACATGCTTCGTTGGGTTATGGCTTTCATCCCTGCCGCGTCGCACAACGCGGCAGGTGTGGCACATCCTCGACATCACATGTGTGCGCAAAGCGTGGCAGGCGTGGCATTTCCTCGACACCACAGGGGCTGCGCAATGGGTGGGGACGCTATCCGTTTTGGCCTCGCAAGGCGTGGCAGGCGTGGCACATCCTCGACACCACTAGGGGGTGAGCTGGGGATTGGAGCGCTATCCGTTTCAGCCTCGCAACGTGTGGCAGACGTGGCACTTTCTCGACACCACAGGGGGTGCGCTGGGGGTGTGGTCGCTATCCGTTTCGGCCTCGCACAGCGTGGCAGGCGTGGCGCTTCCTCGTCGCCACAAGGTGCGCTGGGGGTGCGGTAGCTGTCCGTTTCGGCCTCGCACAGCAAGACAAGCGTGGCACTTCCTCGACGCTACAGGCGGTGCGCTGGGGGTGCGGTCGCTGTCCGCTTCGGCTTCGCAGCGCGTGGCAGGCGTGGCACGTCCTCGAAGCCACAAGGGGTGCGCTGGGGGTGCGGTCGCTATCCGTTTCGGCCTCGCAAAGCAAGGCAAGCGTGACACGTTCTCGATGCCACAGGGGGTGCGCTGGGGGTGCGGTCGCTATCCGCTTCGGCCTCGCAAAGCTTGGCAGGCGTGGCACTTCCTCGACGCCAGAACGGGTGCGCTGGGGGTGCGGTCGCTATGCGTTTCGGGCTCGCAAGGTGTGGCAAACGTGGCATTTTCGTGGTGCCACATGGGGCGCGCTGGGGGTGCAGTCGTTATCCGTGTCGGCCTCGCAAAGCGTGGCAGGCGTGACACTTCCTCGACGCCACAGCGGGTGCGCTGGGGGGTGCGGTCGCTATGCGTTTCGGGCTCGCAAAGTGTGGCAGGCGTGGCACGTTCTCGATATCACAGGGTGTGTGCTGGGGGCGCGGTCGCTATCCGCTTCGGCCTCGCAGCGCGTGGCAGGGGTGGCTCTCCCTCGACGCCACAGCGGGTGCGCTGGGGGTGCGGTCGCTATCCGTTTCGAGCTCGCAGCGCGTGGCAGGCGTGGCATTTACTCGATGCCACAACGGGTGCGCTGGTGGTGCGGTCGCTCTCCGTTTCGGCCTCGCAAAGCGTGGCAGCCGTGGCATTTCCTCGTCGCCAGAAGGGGCGCGCTGGGGGTGCAGTCGCTATGCGTTTCGGGCTCGCAAAGCGAGGCAGGCGTGACACTTCCTCGACGCCACAGGGGGTGCGCTGGGGGTGCGGTCGCTATGCGTTTCGTGCTCGCACAGCGTTGCAGGCGTGGCACTTTCACGACGCCACAGGGGGTGCGCTGGGGGTGCGGTCGCACTGCGCTTCGGCCTCGCAAAGCGTGGCAGGCGTGACACTTCCTCGACGCCACAGAGGGTGTGCGCGGGGTGCGGTCGCTATCCGTTTCGGGCTCGCAACGTGTGGCAGGCGTGGCACTTTCTCGATGCCACAGGAGGTGCGCTGGGGGTGCGGTCGCAATGCGTTTCGGCCTCGCAAAGCGTAGCAGGCGTGGCACTTCCTCGTGCCAGAGATTTTCCATCGAAGGGCGCTCTCGGAGACTTTCCGTCCAAGGGTTCTTCCTGATGCCTTTACCTCCAAGCATTTTCTCCACGCCCCGTTCCATCAAACTGCCCCCGGTGACCCCCATCCTCTCTTGCCACGCCGAAAGGGAGGAGAAGGAGGAGGAGGACGGAGCAGGAGGAGGAGGAGGATGGAGGAGGAGGGAGGAGGAGGAGGACGAGGGAGGAGGACGAGGGAGGAGGACGAGGGAGGAGGAGGAGGAGGAGGAGGAGGAGGAGGAGGGAGGAGGTCACGCAGGACATATAATAAATATGTGGGGTTCCTCGGTAGCGTAATTCCTAAGACGCGGTTCACTACTGTTCCCTTATTCCTACATCGCGATTGTACACTATCTCATGGATTCCTAAGCCCCGTGCCTAAATGATTGCAGTATACAAAATCGCGGTTCTGTACGGGTTCTATTCTTAACCCGTGTCGCGTTTCCATGCGGTTTCCACTTTCCTAACCCGCGATTAAATAAAATACATTGTCATTATTCCTAAGTCGCGTGTAGATCCTGCTTCCTCCTTCGTGCGTCACGTTTCTAAACTGCTTCCTGGTTCCTGAGTCGCGGTTATCTACTGTTGCCTTATTCCTAAGCCGCGGGTATGTAGGGTCTCCTTATGCATAAGTCGCGAGCCCATCTGGATGCCGTATGTATAAATCGAGGTTTCATGCTGCATAAGTCTAAGTTATGCGCTAAGTCCTTATTCCTACGCCGCGATCGTATACTGCTTCATTTGTCCGAAGTAGCGCTTCTAAAGTCTGCCGTTATGATTGCATGTGCCCTCAATCCTAAGTCGCGGTTTTCAACTGTGTCCTTATCCGACGTCGATAGTATCTACTATCCCCGTTTTGCTAAATAGCGTGTCTATGCTGATTCCTCATTGCCAGAGTGTGGCTATGGGATGCTTCCGTATTCCTAAATCAATAGTGTATCTTGTTTCCATAGTCCTACGATGCGGGTCTAGTGAACTGCTCCCTTGTTAATACGTCGCGATTCCTTTT